TTTAAATTAAATTGTAATTAATTTAAATGTAAATATCTATATTTACTGTATTAGAACTAGCCTAATATTCAATTACTTATATTTAATAATTCAGCATTTTATAAAATCTTCTGAATATCAGTGAAATAAACATCATCATCATTATTATTATTTTTTGAGATAGAGCCTCAAGCTGTCCCCCTGGGTAGAGTGCCATGGCTTCACTGCTCACAGCAACCTCCAACTCCTGGGCTCAAGTGAGTTTCCTGCCTCAGCCTCCCAAGTAGCTGGGACCACAGGTGCTCGCCACAATGTTGGCTATTTTTTTGGTTGCAGCCATTATTGTTGTTTGGCGGGTCCGGGCTGGATTCGAACCTGCCACCTTAGGTGTATGTGGCTGGTGCCTTAGCCGCTTGAGCCACAGGCGCCGAGCCGAAATAAACATTATTATTGTCATTTTGCTAATGAAGAGACGTGGGCCTCAAGAGATTGCCTGAGGCTACATAACTAATAAATAGCAAGGGTAGGATCTGAACCCAGATCCCTCTGACTTCAGAACAGGTGCTCTAAGTCATTTCCTATGGAAAAATGGAGCCAGAAGAACACTGTGCCTGCCAGTAGTTGAATTGTACTGGGCCAAGTGTGATGCCAAGGCTGTCAGATGTGAGTATTTCTGTTAGTAGAGTGGCTTATTCTAGTGTGGGGCAGCCAGCATGACTGCTGATTCTCTGGTGGAAGTGAGGTGTGAATGAGCACATGGGAAGCTGTGAAATGTGTCCACATGGAGGGCTTATCCTGATGAGGCCCCAGGTTATTCATGGCCTCCAGGTTCTGTGCTCCTTGAGGGCAGGGTGCCCCTATCACCTAACTCATGGCTGTAAAAAACATTGCTTGAGTGTTCAATGAATGACGGAAGCTCAGAGTACAGTGGTCATCATTTAGGCCAGTGATTTTCAACTGGGTGTGTTGTGAGAGGTTCATAGGTGTGCTGCAAACATTTTTAAATTATTTAAAAATTAAGATTATTAATTAAATTATTTTTGAAAGAAGCTCAAAGCACAATAAGTATATTTTTTTTACTCTTTTTTTTTTTGAGACAGAGTGTCGCTGTGTTGCCCTCTGTAGAGTGCTGTGGCATTACAGCTCACAGCAACCTCAAACTCTTGGGCTTAAGTGATTCTCTTGCCTCAGCCTCCCATGTAGCTAGGACTGCAGCCGCCCACCACAACGCCTGGCTATTTTTTATTGCAGTTGTCATTGTTGAACCCGCCAGCCTCAGCATATGTGGCTGGTGCAGTAACTGCTGTGCTATGGGTGCCAAGCCTACTCTGTTTTTGATCAACATAATTTAAGTATGTCACAGAAGTTTAATTCTAGCCAAGCATGAGGTCACACAAACACTGTAACTGGTTCCACTTCAATTCATGACTATGAATATTGAGTGGACTCTCATGTTTCTTGCAATCTGACAACACATCTCAAATATGTTTATTCTTTGATTTCATGTTTTCTCCAAATGTGCGGCACCCTTTGCCCATTCTTGTCCTAGGCTAATGACCTCGTGTACCTGATCTGCACTGGCTTTTATTCCCCAGGATTTGAATGTATCTGTAATCCCCATTGTGTAGGTCTTGGTGAGAGGAAAATAAATAAATAAAAGGGTCTAAGGGTCACTCTCTCACCTACTCTCAGCTCTTGGGTTCAAGTGCATGACCTTGAGTTGGCCAGTCTTGTACTCCCAACCAGGACTTTGACTTTTGAACTAGTCAAGTGATACCAAGGCTCATTCTTTTTAGAGCTTATTCATAGTGGGGCCCATCACAGATTGGTCCTGTCTTAGGAGTCCTATAGGAAAGGTTTTTACCAGGCTGTTCCAGTCTGTGCTAGTCCTGTGAGATCTGAAGATGATTCCCCAATTTTTATTTATAGCTTTTGCCTCTCTGTTGAATTCCAACCTGTATATCCAGTCATTCACTTGATAGTTCTATCCGGACATGTAATAAGCATCATAGATAATATATGACCAAATCAAAACTTTTTATCTTTCTACAAAATTTTATACTTCCTAAGTCTTTCCTGTTAGTCAGTGGCACCACCTCTACCCAGTTGCTTAAATGAAAAAAACAATTAGTCATCCCCAATTCCTTTTTCCTCTTAATGTTCCCATCCATTCCCACATGAGTCCAGTTGGCTCTGTCTTCAAGTATATGCTCATCTTATTGCAAACAAGCTCGCATCTGGACATCTGCAAAAACCTCTGTGGTAGGCTAGATGGCCCCATAAAGATGTCAATGTTCTAACGTGGAACTTATCAATATGTTACTTTACAAGTGTAAAGGACTTTGAAAATTTGATTAAATTAAAAATCTTGAGATTGAGTGTTCTGATTATCCCAGTGGGCCCTATGTAACCATAAGAGGGAGGTAGAACATCAAAGTCAGTAGCAGGACATATGACAATGGCAACAGCAGGGTTTAAAGACTTGTCCAAAGAATTCAGGTAGTTTCTAGAAGGGTAAGGAAACAAATTTTCCTAGGAAGATTCCAGAAGGGACGCAGGCCTACAAACACATTGATTTTAGACTTCTGGCTTCTAGACCAATAAGATAATAAATTCAGGTTGTTTTAAGGCATTAAGTTTGTGGTGATTTCTTACAGCAGCAGTAGGAAGCTAATACAATCCCTTAACTGGGCTCTCCAATCCTGCTTTATCTCTCTACCTTGCATTCTCCACACCGCAGAGGGATCTTTTAAAAATGTAAATCGGCTTTTGTCACTGTCCTATTTAAAACTTCCTTAAGAACATTCTCTTTGTATCTGGAACAAAATCCAGGCTTACCATGGCCATAGGCCCTAGGTGATCTGCTCACTGGCCACCTCTGCATACTCTTTCTCCCCTTGTTCCATATGCCCTCTCCAACCCCACCTTTATCTCCCAGACTTGCAGGCACAGGGCAACTTGTTTTCCCTTTGGAGCTTTTGCTCAAGCCATTCCCTCTGTTTAAGAAATTGTCTCCAGATCTTTGGATGGCTGGTCCCTTTAGCCTTTAGCTCGAGGCTCTCCTTCTCTTTAGAGAGAAATCCCCTGACTCCAACCCAGAGTAGTACCATAGCCACTGTCATTTATATTTTCCTCCTTAGTTTTATTCACAATACTCATCATTTGAAGCTATACTACTACTTGTTTGCTTATTATTTCCTCTCTACCTTTTTAACCCAAGTTCTAGAAAACTGGGAACTTAGCTTGTCATATGCTGTACTCCCAAACCTTACAATGGTTCTGGAATAGGCTAAGAGGAGCTCAGCAAAACCCTCTTGAGGGACTGAACAGTTGACTTTACCATGGGCTCAGAGTTCAAGTTGGCTACTAGCAAAGCAGGGCCCAATTCATAATTGCTAGTCTCTTGACTGAATCCCAGGGTGGAACTAAGACTGGGCTTCTGTCTGTTGGGCTGGAGCTGTGCGTCTGCCTTTAGGGCCATGCAGTCTGATCAGAGGAGAGTTCAATGAACCTTCCTGGGAATTTATTATAATGATGGCAATGAAAATGGAAATAACAACAGCTAATACTTATGGAGCACTTTCTTTGTTTTGGACACTGTTCTAGGTGTTTTATATCAATTTCTTCACAACCACATTGTGAAGCAGATACTTTTTTTTTGCAGTTTTTGGCCAGGCCCAGGTTTGAACCTGCCACCTCCAGTATATGGGGCCAGCGCCCTACTCCTTGAGCCACAGGTGCAGCCCGAAACTCTTTTTTTAAAAATTTATTTCAAATTATTATGATGGTACAAATTTTTAGATTACTTCTCACTTCCAGGGTAAAGTCCAGTTGTAAAAGAGCTCCTCATCCAGTGGGCGTGTTACACACCCCCACAATGTGCACAGTAGGTGAGACCCAGCACATGTTCTCCCCAGTCTGCCTGTCATCCTCCCACCTCCCTGTGAACTAGACTATATTTGTGTTTTATTGTTCATATGAGCATGTAATTGTTTATATACTGGTTTCATATTGAGTGCAGCAGAAATTTATTTTTCCATTCTTGCAATACTTTACTAAGAAGAATGTGTTTCAGCTCCATCCAGGTATGTAAAGTGTCCTTTCTCAATGGCTGAATAGACATATGCCACAGTTTGTTGATCCACTCATGGGTTGATGGGCACTTGGGTTGCTTCTGCAACTTGGCAATTATGAAATGGGCAGCAGTAAACATTTTGATGAAGGCTGGCTATCCATAGCTCAGGGGTTAGGGTGCTGGCCACATGCTCAGGGCTGCTGGGTTCAAACCTGTCCTGGACTTGCTAAACAAACTAAATAGCCCTGTGTTGTGGCGGGTGCCTGTAGCTACTAGGGAGGCTGAGGCAAGAGAATCGCTTAAGCCCAAGAGTTTGAGGTTGCTGTGAGCTAGGATGCTACAGCACTCTATCGAGGTGACAAAGTGAGACTCTGTCGCAATAAAAAATAAATAAACAAAATAAATTTTGGTGCAAATGTCTTTGTGGTAAAATGATTTTTGTTCTTCTAGGTAGATACCCAGTAATGGAATTGCAGGATCAAATGGAAGGTTGACGTTTAGCTCTTTGAGATTTTTTTTTTTTTTTTTTTTTTTTTGAGACAGAGCCTCAAGCTGTCCCCCTGGGTAGAGTGCCGTGGCGCTCTTTGAGATTCTTTACGCTTCTTTCCATAAAGGTTGTATTAGTTTGCAATCCCTGAAGCAGATATTCTTATTATCCTCACTTTAAGGATGAAGAAACTGAAGCACTCACCTGTTAGGTAACTCGTCTAACATAAAGCTGACTACACACAACTCCTCTACACTGCCTGGGGGTAACAGGACTTCTGGTCGGTGACATCCCGGGTCAGCCCCGGCTCCCAGCAGGTCCTTTCACTCCGGGGACAGGCGGGGACGCCCAGGGTCCAGGATCCCGCGAGGCGGGAAGGGCGGGGAGAAGAGGGCGGGGCAGGGATTGGTGGAAGAGAAGCGGAGCCTGACAGCGGAAGTCCCGCCCACCCTGGGCGACGCTTCCGGCTGTAACTGTTTGGTTCTGCGCGGATCAGATCGGACCGGACCTAGCTGAACCGAGAACGCTGCGATGGTGCTCCTGGAGAGCGAGCAGGTATAGCCACACCTGGCCGCCGACGGGTGGATGCTTCAGGGCGTAGAGACCTCTGTCTCTTTCTGCGGGAGGCGTGGGGACTTGACGCGGTGGGGCGAGGGTTCGGGGCTGACTAACGGGGCCGGCCTTGTTGTGTTCCAGTTCCTGACGGAGCTGACCAGGCTGTTCCAGAAGTGCAGGACGTCGGGCAGCGTGTACATCACCTTGAAGAAGTGTAAGGAGCCGTGGTCGCGGCGGGGCGGAGGGAAGGGTGGCGAGGGCGCCCTGGAAGCCGAGCGATGCCCAGCCGGGTGCCGAAGGTCTAGGAGCCCCCGGAGTTTCTCTGCCGTCGACTCCGACGTCCCCTACCTTCCTCCACCTTGTGCTGGGCACATCGGGGCTCAGGGTCCCGAGACTATTACGGATTGTGGCTTGAGCGGCCCCAGCACTTAGCCTCCTGGGGCGGTTACGTCAGGCCTTTTCTTTTTGTTAGGGATTCAGGTTTTGTCACGATGGGACTTAATATGCTTTCATATTACAGTGTTTTTTCAAGGTTAGGCCAAACCGTGATGCAGAATGATGCAGAAATAGAGCGGTGGGAGTGGATTTAGGTCACCTCTTCCTGTCCCTCTATTGTAACTTTTTATCTGCCAGCGAGATAAGTGTATGTGGCCTGGCTGTTCACCAGGATGTGTTTTTCACGCAGATGATGGTCGAACTAAACCCCTTCCAAAGAAAGGTACTGTGGAGGGCTTTGAGCCCGCAGACAACAAGTGTCTGTTGAGAGCTACAGATGGGAAAAAGAAGATCAGCACTGTGGTGAGCACCATTTCTAGCTACATTTTGGAGTTTAAAGA